CCGTGAACAGATGTAAGAAGAGAAGTAGTTAAATAGCTAGAACTAAATCTGGAGAAAATATAATGACGTTCGAAAACAAACAGATTTATTTTGGTACTCTAAAAATTATATTTTAAGTTAATTATTCACTACTTAGAATAAATGTGGAAATGTAAGAGCTTAAAGACATATATTTTGATATTTGTTTTTTGTAACCCATCAATATTATTTTACTTTTTATTAAATAAGCAGCAATTCTCTCATTAGTATGATTCATGTATATCATTATGGATTATTAGTTACATACAGGTAGTTTTATAAAATATGCAGGCGATGGCATAAGGATTTCTGTACGAATTGTCACCATGAAATTATGAAGGACTAATGTTGTCATTCCTTAAGACAATACAAAGAAACGTATTATCAAAGTTGACAACTTTGGTTCCCAAACAAAATGTACCATGCACAAAAGAGACACAACTGCTGTTTTTGATGTACAACGCTCGACACAAAAACGCTATAGTCTAAATCTCATTAAGTTGTTTCTTCTTACATCGCACAACACTTTTATTCAGTCCACTAGAAAAATGTGGTCTTTTTCTTGATTATCGAAAATAGTCCTCATTATTGTGAAGCCACCCTTATTGATTGGTTGTGACGGATGTTGTCTTACATTAATGTGTAACGTTGCAGACACAGCATAGGTACAAGAGCTTTCAGTTCCCTCAGAGTATTTTGTTGAGCTTTTGCCGTAAAGTTAATCTTTTATGGTTTGTAAAAACAAAACAAACTTTAACATAAATAAAAAGGTTTGTTTGTTTGACATAGGCTGAAATTTCTTAACATTATCGCACAGGTATTTTCTGAACATAAACTTATCATTCAAAATTTTTCAGTTTTACTTAGGAAGAACTGAGCTTTTAACCGAAATTTGAAGACTGATATATTTTCAAACAGCATCGGTTTACTTAACTTTCATTATTGATGTCTTGTAAAAGAAAATATATATAGTTGTCAGTCAAAGGAGAAAGGTCAAAAGAAAAATTATAGACATTTCGTTATTTGCTGGTTGAAATCAGAAATAAGGTATTGATTTAGAATAAATTTTTAATGTATTCATTTATTATTTTGGTATATTAAATAGCTGATTAGGCAGTAGCCAGAAATTTTATAAATTGAAAGAAGATAATATATACATTGTACTGGACATTGTCATGCTGACTAGTGGATAATCCTAATCCTCGTTTGAGCTCAAAAATGAAATATTTGTTCTATAAAAACTTTCACATAAAAGGCTAGAATTCCTATGGTAAAACGTACCAATTTTTAATATTAGTTATGAAATACTTCCCTATTTTGATCACTTTAAATTGTGTTTATGTTCAAGCAAGTATAGCTAAAACTGTACAAATGATAATATAAATTTTGTAATGATCGAAGTTCATGTTCCGTTCATTTCTTTACATTTTCACAATTGAAGATGTAAGTGTTAGTGTGCTCATCAAGTGGTTACGAGCTAGTTCTTCGCTTAATGGCAATAAACTCTAACAGTCTATATTGAAATTCTTCCCAGGAATGAAAGAAACTAAAGGTAGGTGAAACATCACATTTGTTAAGACACTGGTTGGTAATACCACTGGTATTATAGATCATAGTGTCACAGTGTTCTTTTATTCAACTGCAGAGGCTCCTAGAGGCTGATTCAATACATCACGTGAACTCATATATATTACTAATGACGTATTCAATGGACGTTGTTTGGCTATAAAGTTGAAGGCCTTTTTTAACCTAGATTGTTTTAAAGACACATTTTAACTTAATTTGTGGACATAGCTATTTCACAAATTTCTTAATTTTCTTCTTAATCACGTACGAAATAGTGCCTAAGTAAGGTATAGCTAAAGCAAAAACTTTATCGGACTATAATAAGAGATGGCTATTTACTCTTTAGTTTTTGTATGATTAATAATTTTATTAAGAAACGACAACGGTAAACAATTTCTTGTAAGCCTTTGTTTAATGTTCTCAATTTTTCATCCTCCATTTCCGGGAAGAATTCCAACTTAAAATGTTAGAATCTCTTGCCATTAAGATAGAAAAACCAGCTCTTAACCAGAAGACGAATATACTGCTACTTCATCTTCAACTATGAAAAAGTAAAGAAAGGGCAGAACATTAAGTTCGATCGTTGAACATGAGTTGGACTAAATTTTGTAATTAAAGATTCTTGTTCATAAACTTGGAAGAGGTATGGCTATCATTGTTTATTGTAATCTTAACCTTGTGGATATTTGTTGGAAAATTCGAAACTTTACTCATGTATCTGGTTAATTAGCATGCGATATATGAACTTTGAATTCATAAGTTATGCGTTGTCCAGATATTACCAAAAACATATAGCTAAATACGCGAATATGAAAATGGTGTCAAACAATTTTACTGGGATAGAATACAAACTAACGATTGCAAAGAATTTAATTTGAAAAAATTATATGCTTTAATAAAAATTGATTTCATTATGTTCTTGTTTATACTATCTGTCTGAAATTGTACGAAACATAGAATATGCAAATTTACATAAACCCAAGTCTCTATTTGGGATGCCAAAAATGTTTTTATAACTTAAAAACGGCGATTCTAAATAATCAGTTGTTCAAAAGTACCATCACTGATTCTTTATTTATTTTATATTGAAGCATTTGAAGTAGTGTTTCATAAACATTTACACAGTGGATGAAATTATAGGAAGAAGACATGATAATAGCTTATGACTTAACTTGTCTAATATATATATATTCATAATAATGACAGTTCAAATACAACACGAAAGAAGTAGTAAATTCACAATTAATCTAAAAAATGCAATTTTCTAATTAAAATCCTGCTATGGATAAAAATGGTATAATATATAGATATTTTTACTCCATAAATAATGTCAATATTTTAAAGAACGTTGATAAAATTACATTATCAATAGCGACAGATTTTTGTTTTGTACTTTAACCTTGCTTTCTTTCATGACTTTTAGATTTCCAATAATGTTTAACATCTTCACATGAAATTATTGCACTTTGAACAAATGATATTTTGATCAATTTGTAGATGAGCAGGAAATTATAATGGTTTCATTTCTAAAATAAAAGATATGTAGCATAGGCATTAAACCATAATGTTAAAGGGTTACTACTGGATAAGGGCCTGGCATGGCCAGATGGTTAGGGCACTCGACTCGCAATCTACGGGTCGCGGGTTCGAATCCCCGTCCCACCAAACATGCTCGCCCTTTCAGCCGTGGGGGCGTTATAATGTGACGGTCAATCCCACTATTCGTTGGTAAAAGAGTAGGGTGGGGATGACTAGCTGCCTTCCCTCTAGTCTTACACTGCTAAATTAGGGACACCTAGCGCAGATAGCCCTCGTGTAGCTTTGCGCGAAATTCAAAAACAAACAATACTACTGGATAACGCAATGAAATTAATTACTCAGAACAATTTTGGAATCTTCTTTCAAAATGGATTTAGATAATGTATATTGAACATTTGAACTTTATATTTTACTCTTCCAGCCGTTTTTCTGGGTTTTGGAAATGATGTTTAGGGCTACATGCTGAGTCCTTAATTTCGAAACCAAGAAATACAAAAGGGTATTCTATAGAAAACTTAGTCCACATTTTAAAAGTTACCAAACACATATTAAGTTGAAACGTAGAAAGTATACTTTTAAATAACAGATAAGCTTTAAATATAATGTAAGAAAAACAACTTATAAATAGTAGCGTATATTACGTAGCTTTATGTTTGACAGGAACACCGATTGCTGAAGAGAACATAAGAAATTTCGTTAGTGTGTAAGAATATTTATGACATCCATTTATCTCTAAAAACACCTCTTTTTCCGATCAGCTCTAAACGTTAATCCATTCCGTTGAAATGTGTTTAATGTTATCTCTCTAGCTGTATCCCCTTCAACCACCTTTTTCAATTGATAAGTCGTAGCACAAAGCTTTTAAGTTTTGTGTTTTCAAAAATTTTCATGCGCGTAATGGGTAAACTAACATGCATACGTATTTCATAATATTTATGCAGATAAAAACTTTTCAGTTTTTCTAATATTCATTCCATTCTTATTCATGAGTTTAAAGATATGTTTAATGATGCTCACAATTGTATATACATTAACAACATCACATTGTACAACATATATTTCCAAGAAAAAAACCTTTTAGAAGAATCATGATTATATTTTTACTTTTTCTACTTGTTAAAAATCATGATTAGTTTATAGTTAAACATACCTCTGAAAACCAGAAAGAAATTGTAAAATTAAAACAACAAAAAATAGAACACGATACAAAATATATGACAAGATGACACTTTAAAAACACGTAGGAACACAATAGTAGATAGATAGTCAGGAACACTTTCGAAAGGTCGGTTTTTTCTGCTTCAGGGGACAACTGATAAGTGCATATACATTTGATTACAAATTAACATGAACAAATATACAATCATAAAAATAGGTCTTAAAACATCTATAGTAAGTAAAATATGGTTGAAAACCAATGATAAGGATAATAATTTCACGAATGATAAGACAAAAAGAGACAAATTATAGTGCGCATTTTTTTCTTTCTGACTAATTGTAAATATAATTTCATTCCCTATAAGTGCAAGCTTAATGATAAAATGATTAGGTTTATTGAATCGTTGGAGAAGAGGAAGATATTTGAACGAGTTACACGAATATTTATGATTTATACAGTATTTTTAAGGGTTGTTAGGGGTCATCAAACACAGTTAGGAGTACAATATTTGAGATAAACGTTTTTAATGTGTTTTAGAAATGAGTTGTTTTACAGTTTTGTGCAATTTATATTTAATTTTGTCAAGGGAAACATTTCAGTACTGTCACTTTCAAAAAATGTAAATTTAAAGTCTCTTTCATATTCAGTTATTGAAGATTTTTTAAATACTAGCTTTTTCAATACACAGTTGCTTGTAAGCAAGGACTTTTATCCATAGCGTCATACTATTATAATACTAACACTTGTGGCTATACTGAACCTAAGAAAAATCCACTGGAATCCAATACATCACCAGGAATCATATAGTAACCTTTATAATTTCCTAGTTCTCTCTTAAGTAGGAGGAAATTTGCCTCCTAAAAGCACTCAAGTTATTGAGTTTTCATAACTGTGATCTACAAGGCAACATTAGAGTATTATATTTGTTTACTTTCAGAAATACTGCCCTGACGCTACAGACCAGAGAAAAAACAGGGTTAGATTTTACTAGATTTGATGGAGCTGAAAGGTTTCTCTCTTAGTCGTCAGACTTCTGGTTGTTGTAGCCGTTGTATGTGCAGCTTCAGGACGACTTGATCCAGCCACACTTCGAAAAGGATGACCGACCCGCAACTCCATCTTTGGACAAGACAGCATCCTTTTGAAAGCACGCCGAAACTTTATAGACATGGCATTGTAAAGGATGGGATTTATGGCGCTGTTGATGTAGATCATTGTTTTACAGAACATAAGAAACCACAGTTCCATGTACCGCCGCTTGGCAAAAGAATTGTAGACAAGGAGGACACGGTAGGGCACCCATAGAGTGGCAAACACGGCTACAACAACAGCCAACATCTTCACAACCTGTAAGTATAGAAAACAGAAAGATATATTGTAACGTAAAGGACTTTCAAATATTTACCTCAAAGGTAATATTCACAATATTAAAAAAAAGAAAGAATAAACAAATAGATATACAGTAAATTTGTTAAGAGTCTTTATATAAATAAAACATAGGATTAAGAAAACTAAGAGTAAGAATACACAGCTAAATTCTTCACAAATTACAAATATTTTTCCAATGTCGAAATTCACAAGTAATAAAAACTATCATTCACTATCTACAAAGAAAAGAAATCACAGAAAAACACCGCATTTATTAACAAAAGAAGAAGCCTTAAAGTGATCAGGGAACATTTGCGTTAAAGACTGTACAAATAACTAAACATTTAGTTTAAATACTATAGATAATATGATACAGCACTTCCAAAGCTCAAGAATCATTTTAGTATTATGTAGAAGTTAAGGCAATAAGGTTGTTGTTGTACAGTTTCACAGCTCCTGTCTCTAACATTCAACAACATATGATTCTGAACGATTCCTGCTAATTAGCCAAGAATCATAGCAAGGAATAATAATATTACCTCTCTAAAGCGATTGTGGGTTCTTAGATTTTTAGATACTAGTTTGTTATGCAGGAAATGTTCTTGCTTCAAGTAATCTGCATATATTATTGCTGTAATATTACCAATAAAATATCACTTAAATGTTATTCTAATCATAATGCTTGACAGATTACGCTTTCATACGATATAACCTTTTAGTTAAATACTATAGATCGTGCGTTTACATAAGCGAGAAATAATAACTATGTATTTTTTGTTTTTAATTTCACGCAAAGCTACACGAGGGCTATCTGCGCTAGCCGTCCCTAATTTAGCAG